GTNAATCCGGCGAAACAACTGGCCGCTGTGATACAATTGTACAACAACAACAACAATAATAATAATAATCCTCCCCGAAAATAAGGCCAAGCGCTTATTTTGGGTGTCAAAGGAAAATAAGACCCTGTCTTATTAAGACCCTGTCTTATTTTCAGAGAAACACAGTATTTTTTGAGATTAGACTTTTATACAGTCAAAGCCAAGATTTACCTGCAATTTTTGGATTTGTCTATGCTATTGCAGTGTTTTTCACGTCATCATATTGCTCCGCTGAATTTCATCAGGAATTCTGCTGTACCTATCTCCAGATGCTGTAGGAAACACCTGATAGTTAGATGAATTGATTCTGTGGGATTTATTGATAAAAACCTTGTGTGAGCTTTTCCATACTCTGCCTAGTCCAGTCCCTGAATCACTAAAATGCAGATGTTTTCCTATAGCATAGAGTATCTGTGAAGGCCATTTGCATCCCACTGTGGATCTGAAATTGCAACTGCTGTTTAGCATTACTGAAACCTGTCAGAGAGAGGCCTCTGCTTTGGATTTGGCTTATTAATTAGGAGTGTGTTGCTAATAGTGAGAGGATTTTCTAACCATCTCTTTGCTTTTGGGGTGGGTGGGTGAAGAGAGGAATAAAGTTGGTGCCTTATATGAAAATGCCCCCAAAACTCTACACATCGTACTTTCTTAAAACAGAGGGTAAAGTGTGTGATGGATGTCACCACGGAAGAGTATGATTTAGCATCTTGTTAGTATAACAGAATAGTGGGATGCGATAGCTCAATGGCTAAGACGCTGAGCTTGTCAATCACAAGGTTGGCAATTCAGCGGTTCGAATCCCTAGCGCTGCATAATGGAGTGAGCTCCCGTTACTTGTCCCAGCTTCTGTCAACCTAGCAGTTTGAAAGCATGTAAAAATGCAAAAATAGAAAAAATAGGATCCACCTTTGGTGGGAAGGTAACAGTGTTCTGTGCACCATCGGCGTTTAGTCATGCCGGCCACATGACCACAGAGATGATTTTAGAATGTAGATGTCAGAGTTCCAAGTAGCACCCCCAATGAAAAAAGACTCTGAGGCTTGAGGTTCCTCAAAGTTCCGTTTTATTAGAGATGTCATATTGGCACATCTG